CATGCATTGGAAATAATGGTGTATGAGGACGATTAAGCAAAGGGGGTAAGTAATAAAGCAGATTGAATGGATACTAAGATTTATTACGATAGCTTTGCTATACTTTCTATTTTTAGTAACGGTGTGGGGTCATCGAGCATTTTTTTGAACGATAACCACACAAGGAAATGTTAGTTCTATTTGACCGAAAGTGTCAGAGGAGAATATTAACATGTAAAAAGTTGGGGTTCTATATATCAAACTATGTAAATAAACTCATCATAGATACCAGGATAAAAATGTTTGTACGCAAGGTGCGTGTTTCTTCGATAAAAGACTCATCAGTGACGCTCAAATCAAGAAAGTTAAAAAGGCCAAATAAAGTACTAATTTGAAGAGCATTAAGGACCCAACTTAGTAGCAGTCATCTTGTTTTTTTTTATCCGCACCAAAAACATAAAGTTCGTTAAGGACCATAATCTGATTATTCAGGCATAATTTCATTTCAATTTGTCATACAGTGCATACGAAGAACCTCTATGTTTGTACATTGTATTTCCTTTAGTTCTGTTACACTTTGTCATGCATAGGTAACCATCAATGATTTTGGATCAGCACCAAAAACACAAACTTCATATGATAAGTACCATAAGTTGATCATAAACCCGCTTGTGAATTTGCATGGTGAGTGATGCATGTATAACAAATGAAGCTTATCCTGTCGACGCACATATTGTTGAGTTAGATTGCTGACAAACAAAATAATACATTGTGTATAAAAAAAAATAATATAACATCTACACACGCTTAATCTAGATCCGCCTTACGTGACAAGGTAACACTACGACTATTGAAGTTATATTTTTATATAGCGGATGTGTTCGATCAGTCTATACCGCTGGACATGAGGCTAAGCGATTAGTGCTGTAGTGAATCAAAAGGTGTGAGTTCAAATTCCGTTGAGGGACAAAAATTTGTCAGCATACAAATCTAATTCTAACAATGTTGGGTTTAATTTTCAGACTATATATATTTATATATTCTTTTTTCCCATTACCATACCATCAGTATTCAGTACTAGAATGTGTTAGTTGGTCCTTTTCTTTACTGTACTGACAAAAGATGAAGGGATACATTGGTTTTAGTCCACAACACAGTTCCACCTAGTTTAATATTGAGTTCCATATAATGATTTACTTGTCATGAACAAAACGACGTAATGTCCCTCTGGTATCATTCGCCTCTCTTTTGTCACTACTGTAGCAGTAACAGCTCACTTGGTTTCTGTTGCTTGGTCTTTAGGTATTGCTTCTAATTGCCTGTGATTTTGCGGCCCCTATGTACACCCCTTTTGCTATTGAATATTAACATCTTAATAGTTCACGAAAGGTACTTTTTGAAAATAGAAACCATGTGGGAAGGATATTTTAGAAAAATTAAAGAATCGGTGTGATTTGATCAAACAGTACTATGTTTTAAAGTAAGCATTGCCTGTAATATTTGAGTTTTATTAGATAAAACCATTTTGAAAAAAAATAGATTTTTGAGTGACTGAAGTAGAGATTCTAGGTACTGACGTTGCTTATCATCTTAAATACGTGTTATAGTGTTCTGTTATGTGTCTTTGTATATTATATACCTTTAATGTTTAGTCAATTTTTGGTAATATCCTTTCGGCGTGGCTCAGTACTTATGCATCCTGCCATCGTGTTATTGTGCTATGGAAATTTTTTGTATTCTTGTCTTTCATATTTGCTTATGTACGTGCTTTGTCTATATGCCATTTTGTTTTTCTTTGTTGACATGTTAGTTTGTTTTATAGTGGTTAAGATTATAACACAATGTTGACTGCTGTGTCCCAATATTTGAAATTTTTACCTATTATGACTGTTTGTTTTGTTCACATATTGTTGTCAATATAATGGAATTTTATGCGACTGTCATACAAGTGAGAGGTTTACCTAGCTATAAAACCAGGTTTCATCCACGATTTTCTACAGAAGGAAATGTCTGGATTAAAAGTATTTATACAGTTTGAGGAAGGGATGCGTTTACATCGCATACGACAGACAGACGCATAGACAAGGGGACTGACGGACAGAGTATACACATTCCACCCGGGAAATTAACTTTGTTTTTTTAGGGTTAAAAACAAAATAAATTTACAATCAACAATGGAAAATGTTTGTGTAAGCCAAATATTACATTGAGCTCTTTAACGTGCCACTTTGAAAGATATCTAGTGTTTTCCTACGAAGATTAACAAAATTTGTTAATATGTATATTTATAGAACATTGTATGTAGAGAAATAAATAATTATTTATTTTAAAATTTGATTTATTGTTCACTTGAACATACAACTACTTTGATAATTTACCTAATTTCGAGATCAATTTAAATACAACTGCTAAAAAGAATAAACATAAAAATATATTTGTAAATATAATCAATAATAAAACATGGTAATTATAGTTGTTAATACAAACATGACAATAACATGATTTTAACATAAAAAACTAACGAGATAACTACTTAAAGGTGAGTTACGAATGTTGATCTTAAACCAATTGTGTGTTTGTAATTATTAATATTATATTACAGTATTTTTAACTGCTCATTATATAATGTGAAAATTACCCCTAGCGCTTTACAACATATTACCAATTCACAAATACAAATACAAATATCTAAAATAATGTTTGCATTCGAGAAATGATCACTAATAACTTTAAAAAGAAATGGAAAAACGAAATGTTAAAACCTATAAAAAATATTATTTTAAATATCTTGCATGGATTGTATTTCTCCTAAAATTCACTGATAAATCAACAAAATATTGAATAAAATAGATATAAAAATGAATCTCAACATACTATTTAAGGCAAAATTCCTTAAAACACAAATGTATAACAAAATTTGGCATCACATTCAACTGATTATACAGGGTCAATACCACTTCCGAGGGTAGCATCAGCTCAGTAGTCAGTATATCGGTACTGACATGATTTTATCTCGAAAAATTCCCGATTGATAAATTACAAAAATTCTAAGGAACTCATCCCTCAAACAAAGTTGACTTCAGATCAGTTTGGTTATTCTCTTTAAGTCCCCTTGGTCATATAGCTCATAACGTCTTTACATATTTATACGGCACTGCGGGCAAGCGAAATCTATATAGTGTTATTTTCATGAAAGTCGAAAACAAACGGGGGATGAGATATACAACCAGTACCCTATTTTTTATATATATATTCAAATTAAAATCAAAATGGATATACAAAACTGAATTTTATATTTTGAAAATGTTGAAAAATAATAGACAGGACGGTTGTGTGTGACGTCTACATCAGAAAAGGAATTTTATACATAACCGATAGGAAATATCTGAATATTTATACGGCATTTCATGATTTTAAATTTTATTTCAGATTTTTTTTTTATTAAAGTATGAATATTTTGATTGCAATAAATGGAATATTTTCCTTTTATATCATGTATTTCATAACTAATATTGAAATATTCATGCATCCTATGTTTTCGAATGTCCGGGTTTGAGCATACATTGCTTCGGAAGCACCACATTTAAAAAGTATTATTGTTATTAAAGGTTAAGGTGGAATGGATGTAGTCATAATCCAAATTTATTCATACCTGTCGACACTCAGAGCCATTTAAAGCTTAAACAAATGACTGGTGTCTAAACAATATGTCAGTTTCTAATCGGTCCCAAGTCTGCGAAAATTTTTAAAAAAAAGTTATCAAAGATCTTCGAACTCCAGCAAAAGATACAACATGATTTATGTCTAGAAAAACCTACAAGGAAATGTAATTTTTATTTGTGAATTTTATGAATGAAAATATATTGATCCACATAACTAGTATAGTTTCGAACAAATCAAACCTTGCTTTTAGAGGATGAAATGCCTGACAATTATATGCCTTTTAAGCTACATGTCAGGATATTTTACTTTATTTCACTACCTTGAATGAATGAATGAATGAATCTTTATTTCCTCCATGTATGTGAAGATTTAGCATACAAAAAAAACCCGTAATTATTTACACAATAAACAATATATCATACATTTTGAGATAAATACACACACAAAAAAAAACATTTTTCGAGATAAACACACAATACACAGTTGCTGGTAAACAAAACATTTTCCGCATTGTTAGGAGTTCGTGCGGTGAATTCTTATTGTTCACATCTTTTTCCTTGTGTCTTTTATGAAAAGTCTCATTGTCTATTATACCACATCTTCTAATTCTTATATCGGTAGTTATTTATAAACTTAAGTATCTTTTAAATATATGTTATGATTGACAACACATTTGTTACGTTTGGAGGGCGTGTTTTTCAACAAACAACCGGCATTCAAATGTGGACCAACTGTGCTCCTCTTCTTGTCGACTTTACATTTCTATGTAGCAGCTTTCCAGCAGCGTCTGCATACGGAGTATATATCTCCAAGTTGATTCGATATTCTAGGGCTTCTATTGTCTATCATGATTTACTTGATAAAGGGTTGCTTCTCACAAGGACGATATAAAACCAAAAGTTCCAAGTGGTGAAGATGAAATCATCCCTTCGCAAATTTTACGGACGCCATCACGAGTTGGTTGACCGTTGTGGAATATCCGTTTCATAGATGATAGCGGATATGTTTCAAAGGTCGTAACTACAATTCCGTCCCCTTTTCCCCGAATGTGACCTACCGAATTAAACTTATTACCGGGTTTGTACTAACATGAGCAACACGACGGGTGCCACATGTGGAGCAGGATCTGCTTACCCTTCCGGAGCACCTGAGATAACCCCCAGTTTTTGGTGGGGTTTGTGTTGCTCAGTCTTAAGTTTTTTTATGTTGTGTTTTGTGTACTGCTGTTTGTCTTTTTCTTTTTAGCCATGGCGTTGTCAAGGTTATTTTCGACTTGTGAGTTTGAATGTCCCTATGGTATCTTTCGCCTTTTTCTTATGCATTTGATGAAAAAATATTTTCAAATATCACATTCTAATGGACCATTAATTATTCTTATTATATGAATACATTGAAGACAAGACAAGAAATGAATTGGTCAACTCGACTAGCCGCATGGATGATTCTATTTAGTATCGTCACGACGCATGTCCATAGTGATTTCCAAATTCGTAAGTTCTATTTAATTTGTTAATATAAATATGTAATGCCTCAATACAACATGTACTTGTATTGCTATATTAAACCTTTCCCATGGTAAAACTGTTTGTGCTACGTAAGAAGAAAACATGTATTTTTAGTTACATTTTATCTACATGTCATTTAAAAAGCATTAGCTTAATTTTCCTTTCAACTGTTTAATCGATTGATTGAGTGTTGGTTGCTTAACGTCCAGTGATGTTTAATCGAATGGAACGTCGAAGGTTGTCAGCAAATTGTCAAACCTTATAAGAAGTAATTGACAAAAACTGTGCCTTATACGATGAATATTCAGTTTTTAAAGGTTGAATATTAATAATACTCCACCCAAAGCGCTTTTTTCTCTATGAACAGTGCCGTATAATTTTACAGGAACATTAGATAAGAAGGTTGCGTCTACATTTTTATGTCAACATGGCTGCAGATATGCACACATTGACTTGGCAGAAGAAGAAGAACTAGAAAGTGAAGAACCTCCACCAGAAGTTATTATATGGGTAAGTTTACTTATCCTGATTTAAAGTAGTTTCTCGTAATTAGATTGGCTGATATTGTCCTAATAAATTTCAGTGCAATTTTTTATTAGGTCAATTCGAATTATCTCCCTTATACCATTGACCTAATAAAAGATAAAAAAAAATCATGGAAAAAAAAACAATAAATAAGTGGTGTCATAAAAAAATCAGGATACATTCGTTACACAGTGTGCAATTGTCCTAATACGGAATTGATCGTGAAAAAAAAACAATAAATAAGCGGTGTGATAACAAAATCAGGATAAATTCGTTACACAGTGTGCAATTGTCCTAATACGGAATTTATCGGGTCAATAAAATTCATATCCAATTTGGCTTTGCCTCACCCGATATGAATTTTATAGACCCAACAAATTCCTGCATAATGACAATTGCACACTGTGTAACTAATATTATTCGTCCATTTTGCACAAACTACTTTTGTCAGTTATATAACATGTAAAAAATAAAATTATGATTCGGACATGAAATGTTTTCCTGTTATAAATCTCTTAATTACTATTTTCTTTCATTTGTTATGTGATTTATACGATAAAAACCTCCGTTTATATACAGAGAGAGATGGTTCTGTATTGCTTTATTCCACTGTCGAATAAGTGGTTTTTTACATATTATACATGATGATTTAGAAATTCTTTTCAAGACCTGAAGTTTTGGTGCACTGTCGCAATAAAGATTATTCTGTAGAAGTTGTTGTTAACTGAATTACAAAATTCAGTTGTTATAAAACTTTTAACATGAAAAAATGGAAAAGATTCCGAGACAACAATAAATATATTATCTGTCAAAAAATGAAACAAACTAGAGCTGTCCGAATACGTGACTAATACCCGTACATGCATTTTACTTGCTATCGTGAAAATTCGATATTGAGGCAGTGACAATTTTAGATTTTTGGCTTTCAGCCATTCATTGTATATAATCATTGCTTCTGTGTCAAGTTGACACATAGTTGCTGATACATCAATCTGACAAAATAATACTGACTCAGGAACAAAGTCTGAGGTTTGTATATTGTAAATTCAGAAATTAAAGGTCAACGTCAAGGTCAGAATGATGCTTCTGGATAAAAAGTTTTGTCAATCTAAATGCTACGTACAAATGTTATGCACCAAACATAAATCAGTGAAAACACAAGACAAGCTAGACATATTATTTTATTGCAAAACTACAAAAATATACTGATTAATACAACTATACAATTATATACTATATTTTATGGCGTACGGCTGTCTCAGCAATCTAGCGTGCATGGTCATATCATCCGAATTTTGAAAACAAATAAAGATAATGTAGTTGTAGTTGTACATGTTGTAGGCAAACTGCGGTTTGCTTGCAAACATAACTTTAAACTAGACAGATCGGCTGGTTAGTGCCCAGTGTCTGATCTACTTCTGGTTCCAAAGTATGTGAATGATAAGCATCTGAACTGTGGCTCAGATAAGTTTCCAAAGATAAAGTGAGTAGAAAGCCAGAGAGAGCCAATTTGCGAAACTAGTCGCATAAGCCTTTGTCTGAGCTTTCTTGACACGAAGTGTAGTTTAAGAGACATGTAAATATGATATAATACAAGTATACGATCATACTAAACTATCGTGCTGCTATAACATATCTAAATCTTATAGGGAACAAGTACACCACATTAAATCGGGTAGCATATGTTCAAACTATGAGTTGTTAGCTCCCAATGATGAATATCAGCAAACTAAGAGCAAAGGAATTATTGTGCCCCCGTTAAAATAAAATAAAACACATTGCAAACATGTAGATTATTATGCACAAGTGAAACTAAGTAACACACTGCTACAAAGGATGTTCTTATGCTCCAATTAAATCAAGCGACACACTGCAATCGACGGGGATATTATGTCCCTGTAAATCAAATATAAATTCCAATAAAAGAAATCGTAATCCTATTTGACAAGAAACACTAATTATGCCGCTGTAAAATTAAGGCACATTATATTTTCCATGCACAACTCGTACATAGAAAATTGTTGAATAGAAACACTAGACTAATACGATATCAAGGCTAGCTGGGCTTGTTTAATGGTTGATGTTGAAGTATGAATGTATCTGGTATAGCATTCGGAACTCCAACGACCTAGAATCTTGATTAGGTGATCTTCAAATTTTGATGCAACTGATGTTGCCGCTCCTATTCGGAAGCTGTGTCCGTTGTAAATATGATGGGTTGAATCCGATAATTTCCAGGATGGATCGAACATGATTGATGAAGAACGTACGTTTTAGAGCCTCTCCATTTTCCATGACAAACAGTGGACTAGAGTTGTAGACTATGTTGAATCTAGATGTTCTAACAGAGAGGTAGCCTATTAAAGATTTGACCGGGCTTAAAGCGACGTTGTTTTTGGAAAGATAAATATTTACTCCGATTTTTAAAGGATCTGTTTTAGAGGACTTTAAATGCAACATTGCGTAATCCTTATCGACAGTAATGTCTATACATAGATTGCTAGATGCATCAAAGTCTGTATTGATGGTAAATTCACCGCAGCGGTTAAATCCGAAGTAAGCAACGATACAAGCTGACTTAATAAGTGTAGTAATAAATGGTGAAAATATTCTTTTTTGAAATTCTGTTTAATTTTTAATTATATCATAAGTTAGCGGTAATCTTATTCGGGAACTCTGTACTTCTTGTTGTTGTTTATAACCTGAAAAGTTTTGAAGAACAACAGCTACTAAATAAAAATTATTATCTTTCCATTTTATGCAATATAAGTGATGGTGGTATTTACGGATTTTGTTTTAAATTGATCGCTTTCTCAAATGCTTGATGGCCCTTATTGCGTCATCTATTTTTAGCAAACTATAGTGAACAAATCTCTTTATCTATAAGACTGTTGATGCTATCATGTGTTTCATGGTTATGTGGAGAAGATAGATTCAGAATAAGACGTTTTTTGCCAGAATATTTACCTTCTGCGATCCAGATGGGACTAGCACGGAATGTTTCATAAAGAGGACTAGTAAACGGACCCTTAACATATCCTTTATCTATTTCTTGTTTCAAAAGCATATCAACAGTTTCGGGGTCTCTGATGGCGGTAAGAAAATTTCTGCATTCAAACGTGGGTTAATCAATCATAGATACAAGGTTATCAAGGTTATCAAAACCAAAGCGTATGCCATTCAGAAGATACATAACAAAATGTCTATCTGGATGTTCTTTAAGTTCGTATTCAAGTCTATCTAAATATAAAGGTCACATATTTAGTCAAATGTTTGCTTTTGGGATTTCTCTTTTGTATTTTCACTGTTTGACTTTGGTTGTTTTGTTTGTTATTTAGCTAAAACACAAGTTTTCATGCCATGCCCGCTTGACCCACAATGACTACATGCATGCATGCATGAACTTGCATTTTCTTCTAAAGCAAGTACCATAATTGCAGTTATAACAGAGTTCTGCTCCTGCAATATTTGAAAACCGGTCTGCCTCGCTCATCTATGTTACGGATAGGTATAGCCCCTTGTGATGAATTGGGAATGCCGTGTTTTGCTTTTTCACAAAATTTTTATGTATGGTCGAATTCCACGCAGTAAGCACATGCTCTGCTCTGGACATTATGGGTAACCAGGTTCAACAATTTGTCATTAACCTTTGGCTAGATGATAACTATATTGTGTTCCACAATAGTAGCTGCTGCTTTGGCAGAAAATATCTTATGATATGTATAAAAACATGGGTCGTAATTTAGTGAAATTTCGTTAAAATCGGCTCCATATTGTTCAAATTCAGATATTTTTCCCATGATGTTTCGGTATCAAATTCCTCTGTTGTAAGATTGTTGGCCAATCTTACATTTTTTTTACTTGAAAGCTCAAATGTAAACCCCTTGACTGCATGGTTTGGGCTTATGGTATATATCATATTTTGGTGCTAACAACGTAGCCAGGTTAATGTCCCTAGCTTCAATTATCTGCTTTTTTGATTGAGGGTGCAACAAAATCCATATTCCGTTAATCTTCTGCATAAAAACTTTTCCTGTCGATGTAGCAGCAGCAGTTAAGTCTGTTTGCTGGCTTTTTGAACATCTTATAATGGCAGTTTCTAGTGTATGCATGTTTGCTTCCTTTTCGATTACATGCTCTGAGTTCGATTGTTTTAACACAAGTTTAACAATATAGGATAGCGTTTCTGTAGTTGATGTGGAAGCTGCGACATATTCCCTAAAGAGTACCTTGTTGTTTACATTGTTTGTGTTATCAGGCGTATGAATACGCGTATTAGTTACAAGTAACGTGGACGAGTGAAATAGTTCTGCTTCTGTAGCAGCCGCATTTGCAAGGTTTTGCGACCCATTAATAGGTCGAGGTATATATGGGAGCCTGATTGGATGTATAAGGACTTGTAATAGATGTAGTATTTGGTGTCCTGGGCATAGCTTTTGTTCCACAGAATTTAGGTTGGCGAACATTGGTATGCTGATGCATCATTGAATAGGGTGTGTCATATATCAAAGTCAGGTCACTTTGAACTCGACTTAGACCTTTAACGCCTATGATATTAAATCATTGAATTGTGTATATAGTTCAGGTTTATACAGAAGACACTTTGCCCCTTCAATGGTGAACAGAAAGGGGCAAAGTGTTTTCTGTATAAACAAATAAAAACAAATGTAGTTTGTTCCTGCAACACTTGTTATTGGAACTTGTTGTGTTATCAATGACACGTGAACATACGGTGATAAGGCATATTCGTTAAAAATGGTTAATAAAAGACGGACTTGTGGTTACAACATACGAAACACATCTCTTGTCAATCTGTGGTCTCCTTGTTATAGTAACTTTTATAAAAAAAAAAAAAAAAGAAAGATTCGGAAATATGGTATCAATATACTACAAACACAGGCGCTCCTGTCCTGTATAGAAATCTTCAAACGTGGGAAAACTAAATCATAAGCATGGTCCATTCAGACATAAAATATTTGCTAATTGACAAATAACAATCAATCAATCGGCCATCGGTCGACATGGTAATATAACACATAATTACGTAAGATTATCAGGTTTCGCTTTCTTTGTTTAAAGTCATGTGGAAAGAAACGAACCGTCCATTTCCCAGATGATAACCATAAAAAGAATCTCCTTTTTGTAATTGGTATTTCATGATTTTGAAATTGGATCAGCGCCTAATATATATTTATATCATTGTCAACTATTTACCTAACACATATTAATTAAATCTAATCGATCATGTAAGAGAAACTTCTCGTGATAATGCATCTCTGTATAATGATTCACTACATAATTAAGTTTATGTTCGCCACCACCCGACGGCGAATAACAAAACCTGGGCTATTTTTCTACCATATCGTGGAGTCTTTTTAATTCTGATTTTCATTAATCAATCAAACTGTCAACATAAGACAAAGTTTAAATTAAAAAAATCTTAATCATAACACACTCTTTTATCTATATTAAATAAAGCAAACATAAACGTCTTTCCTTGTCATGCAGGATGTACGTCGTCGTTAGGATCATGATTCAGCGGTATTTATGTGATAAATATAGAATAATGGCACTATTGTCTTTGATATGACTTTATCAGCAAGAATATCAGGAGAGCTCGACCTGATTTTCGGGCTAATGAAATAAATAACGAAAAATAAAATGCCATTGTTCTTAATATAGGCAATTTGTCTCTACACTATATTTTATTTGTTTGAGAATATGAAATAAATTTGAATAGTAAGTAAAAATTTTACCGCGTACAAAACGTTGTGATAGTTGTTAGGTTGTATGCATGAATTTACGTGTATTTTATTGATAAATTGACGAGGATGGGCATGAACACGTGACGTTGCTGCGCTGATACGTGACGTAACTACACTGATACGTGACATCAGTGCATAATAATATTGAGTATCAGGTCCTGTCCATGATTTAAAAAAAATAATAGGCAGTAGTATCAAAGACAAAATGTAAAAATTGCCGATAATATAAATATAAGATGATGTTGTTTGATTGTCATTGAGACAAATATTCACCAAAAACCAAAAAACAACACTGATGTTCAAAGTTAAAAGTCTTCAATAGAGAGCAATCACTCATACTGTAAAGTATTCTTTTATATGTTAATTAGTTATTAAAGAAAAACAATTGATTAATTTAAACTTAAGCAATAAACTTAATACAATTATGACAGACAGCAATTAACGACACACGCTGGATTACTATTCCGGCTTGGACAGAAACATCAAGAATGAGGCATGGTTGAACATGTTTGGCAGCTCCTCACGCTACCTCTTGATTGGGACAGCAAACAATAAAACAGCATACGAACAAAATGGAAAAAAAAACCAATTAGAAATAGCTTGACTCTTTAGGTCGTTTTAACCCCACATATGCTGCCTTTTATATTATTTTGTGATATATTTTAACGATATTAAAGGGCTTTCAATTCCTTCATAGAGAGTTGCTGCTTACAATATATGATAAAAAAAAACTCATGATAATAAGGACGAAGTTATTACGAAGTTCATTGGTACCATCATTAATTGGTTGATCAATATTGAACATATATACGCCATAGATAATTACGAATTTAATCCGTTCTCGTAACCATAATCTCGTTCTCTTATTCTTTGTTAAATTATTCTATTTCACGAAAAAAGTTAAATGACTATGGAAGTATTCATCCCATTGAACTTGAAATACAGGACTTCACATAACTGATACAGTTGAGTCTGCTTCATATCTTGACAGACATCTAGACATTGCCAATAATGGTCGTTTGGGAACCAATTTTAACAAAAAAGAACATTTCAACTTTCCAAATGTGAACTTTTTTTCCTTTTTAGGAACATTACAGCAGCGACTGCAAGTATTGTATTTGACACCAGCAACACGACAGATGACACTAGTGGAAACATGATACTCTTCCAGAGCACCTCAACTTATTGTTTGTCGTTTTTTTTTTAAAATTTATTTGATAATGATCTTATTTTTCTTTCGTCGACTTGTAGGTTTTGAATTGCTCCTTGGTATTACATTTTCTCACATCTCTGTGTCCAAAATCTTTATACTTGGTATATAATCACAAATAGTTAAAATACATTTAAATCAAATAAAAATAAATTAAATCTATATAGTATCGTTGTTGCAAACTTACATGGCTCGCACCATTTACCCTGCAAAATATGCAGAAAATAAACAGTTTCAGTTCCCTGAAACTTAACTTATGTTAATTTGAATCAATTAACGACTCAAAATAGTTAATTGTTGTTTTGTTTTTGTACGGTTGTCCTTTCGTCATTTTTCGGTTTGTTTTTTTTTCCATGACACTGCCAGTTTGTTTTCGACCTGTCTGTTTGAATTTCCCTTTGGTATCTTTTGCTTCTCTCTCAAGATGAAATAATAAAATTGCCAATGATTAGTCAGTTGTTTTATATACTTAACTTCTCTTTCATCAACCATACAAGGCATCAAATTTGTAAAAGTAAAAAACTTTCTAGATTTTATCCATGGGATACATGCATAGCCGAAATACGTCGTTACAAAGAAGGTTTAATTTAAAATTGATGTTATTAGTTTTCAAATACCAATATTGATTATTTTGTTATTTTCTTTTTTCTTGATTATACATATGTTAAATGAGGTATGATTGTACTATTGAGCTTTGTGCACTATATGTGTGTTTTGAAAATTATTGATCACAATTATTTTCATTTAATGATAAATATTTAAAACATTATACAAATTTCCTATACATACGAGCCCGATATAATTGAAATACTCAATTTCTTTTTGATGGACTATCGACTACTTTTTAAAGCCGTGATGTATGACCGGAAATAAGAGATGATTGTCGGTGGCATTGTGTCGTAAATTGATAATTGACTCACAAAATAGAGCTTAAAAAAACAGTTTTCTCTAAATATTTAATTGGGTTATACAAATTATTTTTTTTTTGCTTTTCAAGAAATCAAAAACAGACAGTTATGAACATACAATTAAAAAGACAATAAAATTAAATATGTAGACTAATATCAGTTAAAACGTTTTTGGCAAGACAACCTTTCTTCCTCTGATTATCTAGATTACTTTGGTATACAAGACTTTAGTTCAGGAATGTATACAACTGTAGGATATAAATATTGAATAATAAATATGCATACTTAGTGATGTAACAGCGTAAGTATTAGTTTTTCAATATCTTTAGTCCTTAATCTTCATTATAAATTTTCACCCAAATGTTTCACCAATGACATGTTAAAATAACAAATTTGTGAATATGGATATGAGATACGTCAACAAATCTTAACTACAGGTAGCTTTTAAATGTACTGTAATTGTTTAATATACATAAAAATCAATAAAATATTAAACATAACTGGTAACTGCAACTATAATTGGTCTAATTACTTTTAAAATAATTTCCATTGGTGCGAGGATATCGTAAGCTGAACAGAAATTCTGGGGTTCTTACAAGAAAGGTGAAAAACGCTGAATGAATAGCTGTAAATGTTATGTTTAATCACGATATTTTTATTCATACAAGTTTAGTTTAACAGATAAATAAACTAGATGTCCAATTGTCTGCATCGCTTTCCTAGTTACATATGAATCTGCAACAATGGAAATTCTCGACATTGTAGACTAGAACGATATTCCAAACAAAAATTGCCTTTTTGCTGAATTTGAATTGCTGGTCATTTTTTTTTTTCATATACAATTTCTCTTTATTTTTTTTGTGTTTGCCGAAAGCACGAAAAGGGCATTTCTGTACGTGCCTATCCAAATTCAGGAGCCTTTAAGTTAGTGGTTGTTGTTTGTTGTTGTTTATTATGTTTTTTTTGTTAATTGTTTTTTTACATATTCAGGCCGTTAGTTTTCTCGTTTGAATTGTTTTACATTTGTCATTTCGGGGCATTTAATTGCTTCCTGTCCAGTACAGGTGTTGCTCTTTGTTGAAAGCTGTTCCGTAACCTTTAGTTGCCAGCCATTTTCCTTATTTGGTCTCTGGTGCAGAATAAACTCATTGACAATCATACCACACCTTCTTATTTTTATAAACAAATCGTATTTTAACGGCCGTATGAGAATACACCAACGATTTCGGCAAAATTTAAGTTATTTTGAAATCTTGTCTTGCTGATCATTTTTGATATTTAAGGTGTCTATTTTTATTTTTAAATTTTCATTGCAAAAAAGTAAAAAAAATAAATAAAAATCGTGATTAAAGAGCTCGAACTCCAATAAAGAGTCAACTGACGATTTCGGTCATGTTGACTTATTTGTATATCTTGTCTAATTGATTATTTTTTACTATTTAAAGTGTCTATCTATCTATTATAGTTTGCAAGGTAATAACTAAAAAACACTAAAAAGAGCATCAAAGAGCAATAACTCTCATAAAGTGTCGACTAATAATTTCTGCCATCAGACTTATTTGTAGATCTTGTCTTGCTGATCAGTTTTGTCATTTAAACATGTTGATTTGCTTTCTATCTTTAACTGTTTCAAAATAAAAGGTAAAACTGATATTTGTTATCGTCATTTAAGGGCAATAACTCATATAATAAGTTGTATCACAGAGTTTACGTATATAGACAGTAGGTAGATCTCAATATTCTGAACCTTTCTTCGCCTGTTATTTTATGCAGATGATAATGCCAAATTTTGATAACGTCAGATAATAATTTAATCTTGAAAACTTTTTCCATGAGGGGTCCCAGAAAGATATATAAAATCTTACCTTATGCAGATACCAAAACATTTTTTGAATTCAAATAAAAAGCAATATTTCAGCACAAAAAATTAAGCAAAAGAAATACATATGGTTTTAGTATCCTGGATCTCAGCTTTCTGGCAAATTTTCTTATTTTGTGATGCACTCTGGTTGGATCTTTCCACCTTTCTGTGGAAAAAACCTTTTGATTTTGTTCTGATTATAATTTTTTCTTCCGCCACTTGTGTTTCTGAATTTTTTTTTTTAACCATGTCTAGACGATTTTTGACATCGACCAGTTATTGCGCATTTACAACTAAACCTTTTCAACCAAACACTATTCCATATTATAGTTATCTCCTTATACTGTTTGTTTTTATTGCTTCTCCTCAGACACCATAAAAGTTATCGCTTATATTTCTTACTGAACTGATCGCTAATTCCTCAGGATATTTTGTTAAAAAAAATAATAACAAAAATACTGAACTGGTGAATTCCATAAAAACGGACAAAATTAAACTTTATCAACCAACGGAACGAGTAGAAAACAACTGTCATATTCCTGACTTGGTACAGGCAATTTCCGAAGAAAATGGTGAGTTAAACCTTGTTTTTATAGCTGGTTAAACCTCCATCTCGAATGCCAGTTGTTTATTGTTCCTATTTGGATCAAAACGATACGGTTACATGTAATAAAACTTATTTCCTTCTTGTGTTGGACAGAGACAGTTAGTCGGTGTACCTTATAACACGAAAGTCATTGAGACATGGAGTCGTTTGATATGAGTTCTCTCACCCAAATGAATTTTACTGACCCCGTACATATCGTATTATATCACTAGTACACTCTGACACTATCAGTATCAACACGTTAACATAAAAAAATGAATCGAAGTAATATGTTTACGCCATCCTGGTGTATCGTTTTCTATAACAGGCAATTTCTGAAGAAAATGGTGAGTTAAACCTGGTTTTATAGATGGTTAAACCTCCATCTCGAATGCCAGTTGTTTATTGTTCCTATTTGGATCAAAACGATACGGTTACATGTAATAAAACTTATTTACTTCTTGTGTTGGACAGAGATAGTTAGTCGGTGTACCTTATAACACGTAAGTCATTGAGACATGGAGTCGTTTGATATGAGTTCCCTCACCCAAATGAATTTTACTGACCCCGTACATATCGTATTAGATCACTAGTACACTCTGACACTATCAGTATCAACACGTTAACATAAAAAAATGAATCGAAGTAATATGTTTACGCCATCCTGGTGTATCGTTTTCTAACTGTATTTTCGTCAATATCAGTCTATGCGTTTAGGAGGGTTTACACTTGAAAGGCATTTGGAAGTTGTAAATTAAGGCATCTTGTTTAGATAAGAAAATTTAAACATTTGTAAATATATTCATATATATGGTACATTGTACAGAGAAAATATGAATTTGTTTATTACAAAATTTAATTTATTTTTTATTTGACTTTAAACAGCTTTAGTTTGTGTAGGTACGTAATGTTTTACAATCTGGTATCATCGATATGCAGCAGAGATTAACATTATGTTTTAATTTAATTTTTGTTAAGCTTCTAATGCAATTATCGCGATAAATTATCAAAATGAAACATCCTGTATTTGCATGTTTATTTCTGATAACACAGTTTAACAAACACTTTCTTTTAAAATGTACGGTTGTGTAGAAATAACTTATATTCGGTATTGTCATCGGCATTGTTTTACTTTTCATTTTGTCGTCTATTTTCTAACAAGAGTTACTTTTCTATTGTTCTCGTGACATCGCTTTTGTCACTGTACACAAAAAAATTATATTTGTGATTATAATCAATAATAAAAATTGTTTAACGGAAAGACGAGATAACAAATCATATTTGTAAATACAACCAAGATAATAAATCGTTTTTTATTAAATAAACCAGATATCTACCTGAAGGTGAGTAACGATTTTTTTTTCTTAAAACAGTTGTGTATTTGTAATAGAAAAGGTACATTTTTAAAACTAATGTTGACATATTATTTAACGCATTATTCCTTAAAACAAATAATTAAGCATAATGTTTAATATATTCTGCATAAACATTCTTTTGATGATAATGGGTCGATACCATTGCTGGTGGACAGTTAGTCCCCAGGGGTACTATCTGTTCAGTAGTCAATACGTCGGTACTAACATTATTTATAACGCTATTTAAAAGAAACTCCCGTTGATAGATTCAGAAAATACAACATGTACAAAGAAACTAAGGTTCCAACCCCATCTGCCAAAGTTGAGCTTAAAATAATGTGTTTATTCTTTTTATGTTTATTAAGTCATATAGTTTCTAACGTGTATATATATTTATATATTCATATGGATTTCAAATGTTTGGGCTGAGCGTTTTTGATGAAGTGTAAATGCAGAACAGCGCCTTGGACGCTCAAAATTTATAAAGTATTATTTGATAAAATTCAGAGCAAATGATGGATGGCGTACCTGTACCCCCTTTTTTAGACATATTAACATTGAAATGAAAATCAAGACAGACTTTTTCAAACTTTTAAATGTTATATTTGGAAAATGTTGAAAAACAATAATAGATATATAAAGATAAGGAGAAGTGGTGTGATTGACATTGAGACACTTTTCACCAAAGTTCATATAAAGTGGATGTAAGCAATTATAGGAAACCGTACGGACTTTAACAATGAGAAAAACCCATACCGTATAGCCGGCTATAAAAGGCCCCGACATGAAAAATATGAAACAATTCAATGACGGTCTTTTTGTGACGTCTACATATAAGAAAAGGAATTTCATACTGCAACGTTTTAAATATCTTAATATACAAACGGCATTTCATCATTTAAGCTTAATTTCAGATATTTTTTTATATTGAGTATGAATTATCTATTTTGATTGAAATCAATTGGAATATATCCCTTTTGATCATATAGCTTTGATCATATAGCTCATAACTAATATTCAACTATTTGGTACGTATACATCCCGCCATTGTGTTATTGTGATATGGTCATTTTCTGTATTCTTGTCTTTCAATTTTGCTGTATGCTTTGTCTAAAGCCATTTCTTTTTTCTTTGTTGGCGTATTTTTGTTTTTATAGTGATTAAGATTATAACACAATAATGACTGCTGTACCCCTATTTTCGGGTTTATACTAACATGAGCAACACGATGAGTGCCACATGTGGAGCAGGATCTGCTTACCCTTCCGGAGCACCTGAGATCATCCCCAGTTTTTGCTGGGGTTCGTTTTGCTCAGTCTTTAGTTTTCTATGTTGTGTTTTGTGTACTATTGTTTGTCTGTTGGTCTTTTTCATTTTTAGCCATGGCGTTGTCAGTTTATTTTCGACTCATGAGTTTGAATGTCCCTTTGTTATCTTTCGCCTCTCTATGACATTTTTAGCTCACCTGGCCCGAAGGGCCAAGTGAGCTTTTCTCATCACTTGGCGTCCGTCGTCCGTCGTCCGTCGTCGTCCGTCGTCGTCCAGCGTCGGCGTTAACTTTTTACATTTTGAACTTCTTCTAGAGAACCACTGAATGGAATGAAACCAAACATGGCATGAATGTTCCTTATGAGGTGCTCACCAAGTGTTGTTACTTTGTAGCCGATCCATCATCCAAGATGGCCGCCAGCTGGGGACTCAGTGTAACATAGGACCCTATGGGAAATGCATACAAATGACTTCTTTTAGAGAACCACTGAATGGAATAAAACCAAACATGGCATGAATGTTCCTTATGAGGTGCTGACCAAGTGTTGTTACTTTGCAGTCGGTCCATTATCCAAGATGGCCGACAGCAGGGGACTTAGTTTAACAAAGGACCTATGGGAAATACATACAAATGTCTTCTTTTAGCGAACCACTGAATGGAATGAAACCAAACATGGCATGAATGTTTCTTATGAGGTACTAACCAAGTGTTGTTACTTTGCAGTCGATCCATCATCCAAGATGGCCGCCAGCAGGGGACTTAGTTTAACAAAGGACCTAAGGGAAATACATACAAATGTCATCTTTTAGAGAACCACTAAATGGAATGAAACCAAACATGGCATGAATCTTCCTTATGAGATGCTGACCAAGTGTTGTTACTTTGTAGCCGATCCATCATCCAAGATGGCCGACAGCGGGGGACTTAGTTTAACATAGGACCTATGGGAAATACATACAAATGTCTTCTTTTAGCGAACCACTGAATGGAATGAAACCAAACATGGCATGAATGTTCCTTATGAGGTACTGACCAAGTGTTGTTACTTTGTAGCCGATCCATCATCCAAGATGGCCGACAGCGGGGGACTTAGTTTAACATAGGACCTATGGGAAATGCATACAAATGACTTCTTTTAGAGAACCACTGAATGGAATGAAACCAAACATGGCATGAATCTTCCTTATGAGATGCTGACCAAGAGTTGTTACTTTGTAGCCGATCCATCATCCAAGATGGCCGACAGCGGGGGACTTAGTTTAACATAGGACCCTATCGGAAATGCATACAAATGACTTCTTTTAGAGAACCACTGAATGGAATAAAACCAAACATGACATGAATGTTCCTTATGAGGTGCTGACCATGTGTTGCTACTTTGTAGCCGATCCATCATCCAAGATGGCCGCCATCGAAGAACTTAGTTTAACAATGGACCCTATGGGAAATACATACAAATGTCTTCTTTTAGAGAACCACTGAATGGAATGAAACCAAACATGGCATGAATGTTCCTTATGAGGTGCTGACCAAGTGTTGTTACTTTGCAGTCGGTCCATCATCCAAGATGGCCGACAGCGGGGGACTTAGTTTAACAAAGGACCTATGGGAAATACATACAAATGTCTTCTTTTAGCGAACCACTGAATGGAATGAAACCAAACATGGCATGAATCTTCCTTATGAGGTACTGACCAAGTGTTGTTACTTTGTAGCCGATCCATCATCCAAGATGGCCGACAGCGGGGGACTTAGTTTAACATAGGACCCTATGGGAAATGCATACAAATGACTTCTTTTAGAGAACCACTGAATGGAATGAAACCAAACATGGCATGAATGTTCCTTACGAGGTGCTCACCAAGTGTTGTTACTTTGTAGCCGATCCATCATCCAAGATGGCCGCCAGCGGGGGACTTAGTTTAACATAGGACCCTATGGGAAATGCATACAAATGACTTCTTTTAGAGAACCACTGAATGGAATAAAACCAAACATGGCATAAATGTTCCTTATGAGGTGCTGACCAAGTGTTGTTACTTTGTAGCCGATCCATCATCCAAGATGGCCGACAGCGGGGGACTTAGTTTAACATAGGACCCTATGGGAAATACATACAATTGTCTTCTTTTAGAGAACCACTGAATGGAATTGAACCGAACATGGCATGAATGTTCCTTATGAGTTGCTGACCAAGTGTTGTTACTTTGCAGTCGATCTATCATCCAAGGTGGCCGCTAGGGGGGGGGGGGGGTGTCTTTGTTTAACATAGGACCTAAGGGAAATACATACAAATGTCTTCTTTTAGAGTACCACTGAATGGAATGAAACCAAACATGGCATGAATGTTCCTTATGAAGTGCTGACCAAGTGTTGCTACTTTGTTGCCGATTTACTGTTCAAGATGGCCACCAGGATATTTTATTAAATAATGGGACCAATATTAATCAAAATTTGGCCTCAATCATTATTTGGGTATCTGTTATGATTTTTATCTATCTTTACATGATTTCTTAAACCAAAGTAGAGTCAGGTGAGCGACACAGGCTCTTGAGAGCCTCTAGTTACCTTTTATTTCTTGTTGTTTTGTTCACACATTGTTGTCAATATAATGGAATATGACAGTTGTTTTCCATTCGTTTGATGTGTTTGAGCTTTTGATTTTGCCATTTGATAAGAGACTTTCCGTTTTGAATTTTCCTTGGAGTTCGGTATTTTTGTAATTTTACTTTTTTCATGCATCCTAGAATTTTCAATGTCCGGATTTTAGCACACATTGCTTCGGTCGCACAAAAATTAAACTTTTTTTTTCTATTCTTTGTTTAAAGTATTTAGTATTTTTTCATGTAGCTAGTTGTCAATTTATTTCTATTCCGTTATATTTAAATTTTCCTTTTCTATTTCTATTTCTATTTTCAGACTTCTTCTGGAACTAGTTTGTTTAGTATTTAATTCGAAGTCTTTGTGTTATTACTGCAGGGATATTTCCTTGGTGCTACTACGGTTGGAGTTCTATAGTCATATATAAGTCTGATACTTGTATAGTATATATCGAAGTGATCACAAGTGCAATACGTTCTGCATAGTATATTATTTACTGTATATTGCATTGATTAAGTGTATAATATCCAGATGTTTGTTTGTTTGGAAAAATTTATAATATTTTGTTATTTTTATAAATGTTGTTATTAGTTTTGGACTAGCTTTCAGTGACTGTGTCTATTCTAAGATCGGAACTTTGTGTCTTTTGTATTAGGTGTTTTCTGTGCTTCGTGCTAGTTTGTTCTTTATGTATTTGCTGTTACACGACTGTCTTAGGTTATGTGAGTATTGAGCACTCACACATATGTTTAACCCTGTAACATGCTGTATAAACCTGTATCAAGTACGGATCATGTAAATTAGAGGTTTTCGTTGGTTGTTATCTCTCATTTGTATTCGTTTATCTTTTTTCTTATAAATCAGATTGTTGGCTTCCTTTTTTGAATTGTTTGACTTTTGTCATGTCGAGGCCTTTTCAGTTGCATTTTTGTGAATTTATTTTTCTCATTGTTGAAGCCCGTAGAGTGAACTATAATTGTTTATGTCGACGTCATTTGTAATCTGGTGAAAAGTTGTGACATTGTCAATGATGCCACATCCCCTCATTTTCTTACAAACTACATTTACTGCAGATATGAAAACATCACGCTATTTATTATGTGTACTTGTGCCTTTATAACAAAAACTATTCGAAAATACCAGCCTTATAATTCTGAATGGCAGATGCACGTTTTGTCTACAAAAGTCTGATCAAATAAAAAAAAGCATGGCGAAATCAATCGCGAGGTTGTAGAGCAACGCAAACCACAAATAAACGTCCCAAGTACGGTTAAGCCCATACATGTCTGGGGGTCAAACTTAATTAGTGTTATGACTATTTCATCATTTTATAAACAATAAATTGACAGAAAAGGAAAATATGAATGATGTTTCCTGTCAACACAGAAAAGGGATGACTACTTGGCTGGTGGTTCACTCGGGGACGAAACATTCATCAGCAGTGGTTGTAAAAACTCATCAAAGATAACAGGCTTATAATATATTTACAACGAACTTAAATGTTTGCACCTATTATTTTTATATTTATTTATTTTTAATTGTAATCGAACCAATAATGTTTATGAAAACAAACAAAAAAATTATAAAAAACTATATATATGATACACATAATATATAATCCTAACATATAATGCAGTTATAGATCAATTGATCAACATTTTTCTCTCACTTGTATCCTACTAAACGATTATCCATGTCCTAACGTCCTTTCGCCTCTGTTGAATAGTTATCCAATTGGCAATCAAACCACATCTTCCTATCTTCAAATTAAATTGTACAAAATAGATGGATTTGACAGAATATTTAGAAAGCCAAAGAAATTGAAAAGAATAATAATAATATAATATCATAATATTTCGACATCGGAGATTATCGGACCATTGACTGTGTGGACCGTTTCGAAGTTTAACTATCAGAATAAGGACGTATTAATAACTATTTTTCTTAGTAGATATAAAATATAAAGTATGAATTATGAAACATTATCTTACGTCCAATATACATGATATACCGCTACCACTCAGTGAATATGTTTCCCTTTTGTATTTATATATTGAGTTTTGCTTTGTACCGATTTCATTTTGTTTGAGTGATATATACAAAAAGTAACACCATCTTCCCAATGGAAGTTTTGCTGTCATCAACAAGAACGTTCGATATTAATTGTAGTGATGAACTGAAGAATTTTTTCATTTTTCATTTTTTTTTTTGGGGTGGGGGAGGGTTGACTTTCAAAGAATACAAAAGTGATTCTTCAAAAACTTACAGTTTACCAATTCAGGCGCGATAGTAAATCAAATTAAATATATCCGTTTGGAGATATGCATATTTAGGTGAACTTAATTAAGATAGCTCAGCATTTGCAGTTCATAAAGTCAAACGGACCTGTATACACGAGAAGCAGATTCCTTTATTCAACAAAAAAGGGCTTCAAACAAAAATCTGTAAGACAAACTATGCTGAGGACAAAATGAAAATATTGAACTCCAAAAAGGATTAAAAAAAGGTGAAGTCCATAAAACCTGACAAAAGCTCTCAATCAACAAAACAAGTGAAAAACAACTGCCATATTCCTGACTTGGTATAGGCATTTTTCCGAAGATAATAGTGGGTTAGAACTGCTTTCATAGCTAGCTAAATCTCCCAATTGAAATTACCAAACGTATTTATTTAAGTTTTTAATGTTAAAAATTACGCGTACTAAGTTATGGCCTAAATATGTACCTATGTCCATTAGCACTAGAGACGAAGATTCGATACCTTTGATCAACAGACACCAGTTTTAATTTAAACAATTGTATTTTATTCCACATCGTGACAATTTTACTGAGCCCGGATACGTATGACAGATTATGCGTATGAATCAGGAGACGCGTAGTTTGTCGTGTGTTATATGTATGTCAGTACAATGATGCCACCCCCAAAAACTCATATAACCATAACACATCCGCGAAGAGGACAACATATAGGGACCAACACACGACCGATGTCTAAACATTATGTCAGTTTCTAATTGGTGTCGAGTATGCAAAAATATGAACTAATTAATAAGAATATATCAAAGATCTGCCATTATCACAACCGTTAACTGTTGCTTGTCACTAAGTCGACCCAATTAAAAGTATTTGAAGATGCAACAGGATTTATTCTTACGACAAACTTTCATGGAAACATAATTTTCATTGTAAATTTGATGGACGAAATATTCTTTTCGACATGACCAAAACGTTTCGAACAAATCATATGAATCTCTTACTGAATAAAATGCTTGACTACATGTCAGGATATTTTGATTTAATTCCCTGCCATGAGTCAAAAGCATTCATTTGTTTATTCTTTTTAAACCTAGTACAAAAATAGTATAAAATTAAAAAGAGGGGCTCGTGTAGTAGTATACATTTTACCGTTGGTGTTCTTTTGTACTGTTTCGCATTTTGTCATCCAGGGGCCTTTTATAGCTTACTTTACGATTAGTACGAGTATTTTACTCATTGTGAAAGTCCATATGGTGACTTGTATTTGTTTACATCATTTTCCTTAGATCTCATAGGCAATTATATCAGGTCTCCTTATTTTCATTTATCGTTAAATTAATCAAACAGTGGTATTTTAAAATATATTTTTTGCATTTGATGAAAAAATTATCCTCAGTATTAATTGCTAACATACCATTATTCATTTTTGTTATATGTTATATTTATACATGAAAGACAAGCCACGAAATGAATTGGTCAACTCGACTCACTGTATTGATGATTGTTTCTTGTATTACCACGATGCATGTCCATAGTTATTTCCAAATTCGTAAGTTACGTTTTTTTTTTTTTCTGTTTTATATTCTTAAACTGTTAATAACATCAACAACAACAACAACAACAACAACAACAACAACAATACTTTATTTAAAGAGGGTATATATAGCTATATAACTAATCTTCCCTGGGGCCCTCATCATAGAAAAAAAGCAGAAACAAAAAAGGAAACATATACATGGCATACATTAGTATGAAAAGTCAAGTATAATGATAATGTTCAGTACAACTACCTAAAATGTTATGAACAAATAAACAGGGTGTCAATACTTGAACGGGAACTGCTGACCCTTCCGGCTTACATACGTTAACCCCCGGTATTTTGTAGGAAAGAAAAGAACTGCTAAGAATTTAAGTGAAAAATTTGAAGAAAAAAGTTATATGTCGAAAAATGGCAACTTATTGTTTGAGATTTTTATATCGAGGAAATTTAGATAAATTTTTACCAATCATCTCCTAAAGCGCTTTGTGATGATGATGATGATGATGATGATGATGATGATGATGATGATGATGATGATGAGATGATGATGATGATGATGATGATGATGATGATGATGATGATGATGATGATGATGATGATGATAGCTGCTTAACGTCCAGCGGGAAAGAGCTTTGTTATCACAATGACGTTAAACATCGTATTGTGCGTTAGTATGAAATTATAAACTATAAATCGGGATTAACCGTTAAACGCACCAAAAGGTATTGGATAAAAACTGGATGGTATGATTCCTTGACTGTTTATTTGAGCAGCATTCTGAAATAGGGCTTATTATGCATTTTAAATCAGACTATTTTATCAAACACATATTACAATATTGTTCACATGATTTAAAAAAAAAAATTGCCTGTGAAATCGATATATGGACAATAAGACACTTTCCTATGCGTTATATACTAAATTTGAATAAAAACGACATTTTTGCACAGGATTCGAAGTTAGTTTGATTCATCATTTTTTTTTTTCTATTTTGATTGATTGCATCCAAACATAAGGCAGGCTAAATGACCAAAAATAACTAAAAGGAACACTAAAATTACATCATAAACCCCTCTATAACGGACATTTAACTACATAAGTTAAGATATGTGAATATTTCAGGCGATTGGTTTAAACTTCGATTGTCAGGCGGTAATGTTAATTTTTTTACACATCATGTTCATCAGAAAATAACAATTTATATTATACAATAAGATTACCGAGTATCTTTTTTGTTATATTTTCGGATACAGAGACCACTTAACAAATCGTTGTTTCATGTGGCTACAAATGATACATTTCATAAATATCTTCGACAATTCCCTCTGTCACAGATGATAATACAATGTCGTCTTCTTGATACACACATTGTGCACGTATGTTTTTCTTCAATGTCTGAAAGTTGTATTTCTTATCGATTAGACAAGTTCCCTTTTATCATAAAATATTTTGTTCTAACACACTGTCGATAATGAAAACTCAACACATTACCCAGGCTTATTAACAACCTTATTGGTAAAGGCATTTGTAGTTATGCTGCAGCTGTCTGGTATATCAGATATTATCGTACTTCTGTAGATATAATATGTGCGTGCATTAATATAGTCGTTGTCTATTTAGATTCAATGGATCCTACATTAATGATAATCGACGATAAAGAAGCCTTTGCTTTTCTTGGTAAGAATACAGGTAAAAATTCCAAATGCGAAGAAACTCCAACACCTGGTTACGGTTTATTCGTCGACAATGAAGAAGTGCCCAAGCCATTTGTGTAGGTAAATTTGAAGCAAACAATAAATGGAGTTCTGTTACATCTATAATTTTAAATAAATATTCAGAAAAATCTAGCAAAAACATTCGTGATCAATTTATGATCTTTTATTTTATGGTAGTATGTCAGGTTTTATGTTAACAAAATGTTGAAATTAAACGTTAGAATATGAATGACTTTTCCGGTACTATTTTGTCTGCACCAGATAGTGGTTTCGATAATTATTGTCTCTTCAGAGATGCTCAAAGATAAATATTTGACAATCCAAAAACTGATACAAACGTTGAAGAGCTAATAAAACCAAAAAGGACCAAACGTATAGCCAAAACTCGAACGATAAATCAGAGCTAGGCCTGAGGGAATCCCGTAATTTAAAAAGATTTCCAAATTTTGTAACAGCAAATTTCAATAAAATAATATCCGTATTTTCATGCCAGTACCGTAGTACTAGTTGTTTGGTTAGTGATACCATCGGGGACTCAAAGTCCACCAGCAGAGGTATAGACTAAGTGCTAGTGTTAACATTACGGTACAAATTGTACTGAATCAGATGAGCATTTGGACAAAACATGTCTCTTTAGTTATGTTCGAAGCCGAAGTAAGATGAAATACCATTTATACCCAACAATCGAGATTGCTAAATATGACAATTGTGTGTCTGTGTGCATTGATTAAAAAAAAGCAAATTAGAAATGTCAAATGTTAACGTCTTGAATACAAATAAAAATTCAAGGTACAATAGGTCAAAAACAGTCGACCTATAAGATTAAATTGCACATTATGATAGTTTCAAAAATGAAAATGTTTTCAATAATATATCCTTAACATATTGCATTAAGAAACGACTTAACTTGTTCAGTATAATAGCTGTGAAATCGAGATTTAAGTGAATCACATTCTTAATTTTTAGTTACTTTTTTTGTAGGATAAGAAATTCCCTAACCAAATAAAAGTGCATGAATTCATTTTTTTCTTTCATTTCTTTTCATACAGGGTGGTGTAATATACCTGACACGAAAGCCTTATAAAGGCGTTTTCAAAGAAGCTGGCTCAGGATAAAGAAAGACTATTACTTCAGATTTTTCACTTGCCTCAAAACAACATTCTAACATAAGACTCCTTGAAGTTGTACTTTTTCATGTTTGTTAATACAAATAATGTATATATTGTGTACATCCTTCTAATATACTATTAACGTCTTATAATTGTTCTGTTTAAGTTCTGTTAATATTGATGTATATGCTGTGCACATCCTTCTAATATACTGTTAACTCCTTACAATTGTCCTTATATGTTCTGTTAATACTATTTGATATGCTCCGTCTTACCTTCTAACATACTGTTAACTCAGTACAGTTATCATTTATATGTTCTGTTAATAAAATTTAATATGTTGTGTATAACATTCTAATATACTGTTAACTCTTTAAAATTAAATATTTTTCATGTTCTGTTTATACAAATTTTTATGCTGTATGAAACCTTCTAACATACTGATAAATCCTTACAATTATACATTTTATGTTTTGGCAATACAAATTAATATGCTGTTTACAACCTTCTAATATACTTTTAACTCCTTACAACTGTCTTTTTTATGTCTTATTGATATACAGTTATATGCTGTGTACTATATCTTATATTCTGTTATATGTATGTATAGAGTGTTAGTTTCGTTCGCTCTGTTGAAATCGCTGCTGGTGGACTGATTGTCTGCGAGGGTATCATCAGCTCAGTAGTCAGTGCTTCAGCCCTAACATTGTGTATAACAAACTTTCTGAAGTAGTGCACATGCTATTATGGATTTTCCCTCCATTTTTCAGACTTGCTAAATGGGATTTAGAGTTTCAAAAATACTAAGAAACTATAGTTCATCCCCCCTTTCTCCCCCTTCCTCTACCCCCTCGGGCAAAGTTGGCTTCAAACGGTATTGAATATTCTGTTTAGATTTGTTTTGGTCATATTTTTCCTCAAGTGTTTATACATCTTTTGCTTTCGCATTGTTGGTTTTATCTTTGGCTTTTACAGTGTTGGTTTTATCTTTGGCTTTCACAGAGTTGGTTTTTATCTTTCTAGATGAAGTAAAATTCCGCCAAACGCTTCGGACACGCAAATTTTACAAAGTATTATTCTTGTTTAGGTCATCTTATCAGTAAAAATGATAAAAGATTGTACCAATTTTGTGAAATCAACATGGTTGTTGTGTATTCAACTAATTTTGTGTTTTGAACGTAGATGCTTTAATACTTCACATACAGTGTGCACACCTTTAACAAAAGAGCACCTGTCTGTATATATTTGTCTGAGGGTTTTGTGCAAAATAGTTCATACTAAGAAAACAAGATTTCTGCTTTCAATACAAATTCTAAAATACATAAATCATTAAATGATTTTAAATATTCAATATTTTTTTTCAACTGGTTGATTTCAATAAATGATCTGTTATTTTGTACTTGAAAGAATTAACATTTGTAATATTTCGTAACAATATTGGCAAATTGTTCCACAATAATGGTCTAGAATACATAAAAGATTTCTTGAACAATTCTATTTTTGGTTTTGGGAGTATTAGGTTTCATTGAACAGCATTTCTCAAGGGATTTCTGTCTGAAACATAATGAAACGTGCTAGTAAGATATGATGGGGCATCATTTTTGATGCACTTAAATGTCATCACGAACTTGTGATATTTTATTCTCTGTTCAACTGTCATCCAGTTTAAGTGTTTGAATAAGGGCTCTGAAGGAGCGAAAGGGTCTGTTTCTAGTATTATTCTAGCAGCTCTCTTTTGTAATTTTAATATCCTATTTAAACCCTAACTGCTACTACTCCACACTATACAACAATAATCAATTAGTGGTAAGATATAACCATTATAGAATAATTTTCTGCAGTCTAGATTTAGAAATTTCTTAATTTTTAATAGTAGATATAGCCTAGATGAAATTTTTGAGCAGATCAAATCAATTTGGTTTGTCTATGTGAGGGAAGGGTCAATTTTGATGCCTAAGAGACTTTCGCATGTGGAAGATTGCATCAAGATTGTTAATAGTTAAACAACTTTCTCTGTTATGTGGCATTCCTTTTTGCTTTGTTCCATTAATCATATATTTTATTTTATTTTCATTGATGAACATATTGTTATCATTACACCTTTCCTCAACACCATGCAAATCTTCTTGTACCTTTGACTGCAGAGTTTGATAACAACTACCAGAAAGATGTAAAGTTTAATGTTCAGCATATAAATCAGTGCAACAATTTTTCATATAGATAGGAAGGTCATTTATGTATAAAATAAACAGAAGAGGACTTTATGTGGAGCCTTGGGGGACACCATGCTTGATATAAAGTTTATTCAGAATGAGCATTAACATGTTCTGTGTTGACATGAATTATCATTGATATGGTCAAAATTATATATTAACTGTTTACAAAACTTTGAATTTTTGAAATACTAAGGCTTTTCTACCTCAGGAATAGATTACCTTAGCTGTATTTGGCAAAACTTTTAGGAATTTTTGGTCCTCGATGCTCTTCAACTTTGTACTTAGTTTTGTCTTTTTAACTTTTTTTTTATTCGAGCGTCACTGATGAGACTTTTGTAGACGAAATGCGCGTCTGGCGCAAATACAAAATTTCAATCCTGGTATCTATGATGAATTTATTTACCAAATTTGTACTTGTTGAGTTCTTTCACTCAAATACGATTTGAAAAAAGAAACATCAGCATTATCAAATCCATAAATTTCAAGTTTTTTACAGAGAATATCATGATCTACTACATCAAAGGCTTTCTTAAAATCCAGTAGGACTGCTAAGTTGATATTACTATCATTCATATCCTGTACCCATTTATCTATGATATTGATAAGGGCAGTTTGGCAAGTGTGTTCTTGTCTAAACCCAGACTATTAATATTGATTTTGTTATCAGTAAATTAAAATCAAATTAAATATTATTGTTATATACATATGCACATTCATGGCTCTACAATCTGTCGATACCTGTATTTGGCATTGCACAAGGTCATGTTTTTTCTGACTGTTTATGGCGTATTTACACTAAATCCATTGGATGTTAGATGTGTACTGATTGATAATTTAGTCTTAGATACATGATTTCTTTTTATAAGTTGTTATTGGCTTTTAACTAGGTGTCAGTAACTGCGAGTACTCTCAGATCTGTGTTAAGTGTCTTTTAATTGTTGGGATGTACAAGTACCCGTCCACGTCCACTTTGTGTTTTTGTTGGATGTATTTCTATTTGTATCCATCTGATGAGTTAAGCCTTTTTCAACTGATTTTTATTGTTGTTCTTATGTTGTACTGTTACACCACTGTCCCAGGTTAGGGGAGGGATGGCGCCTTCAAACTAGTTTAACCCCGCCACATTATGTATGTGCCTGTCCAAAGTCAGGAACCTGTAATACAGGGTTGTTGTTTTTTGCTGTGTTTCATATATGTTTTTAGTTCATTGTTTTGTACATAAATTAGGCCGTTAGTTTTCTCGTTTGAATTGTTTTACATTTGTCATTTCGGGGCCTTTTATAGCTGACTATGCGGTATGGGCTTTGCTTATTGTTGAAGGCCGTACGGTGACCTATAGTTGTTAATTTCTGTGTCATTTGGTCTATTGTAGAGAGTTGTCTCATTGGCAATCATACCACATCTTCTTTTTATATGTGCTGGGTGTAAAAGATTAGATCTTTTTAGATTGTCATACAATTGTTTTGAAACATGTTTTCTTAAAGTTTTGATAAAACAGGAAGTACAGAAATTGGTCTATAATTTGTTGCCATGAATTTTTCCCCAGCTTTAAAAAACAGGGGTTACTCTTGCATTCTTTAGAACAATGGGCAATGAACTTGTATCTATTATTCTGTTAAAAATGTAAGTTAAAGATGAAGTTATGAAAGGAGCACTTAATTTTAAAATTTTTGGTCCTATGTTATCAGATTCGGTGGATTTATTAATGTCAAGTTTGATAATCGCATTAAATAGAATTAAAGTTAATAAAAGTATGATATGTCTCAAGAGACTTCTCTAACTATAACCTTCAATTGAAAGTTTAGACTCCTAATGCAACATTAGAAACATGTGTAAATAGTCATATTTTATCTACAGATCACTGTAAAAGCATTGACTTTACATTTAAACAATGGACTGGTCATCACACGGCGTTTACATATCTAAGTTGACACTTTATGCTCGTGCATTCTCACAATTGGCACTCAAATCGGTTTTTACGGTCACCATAACAATTTGGTTGATACGATATGTCTGTGTCTCAACTCACTAGCGACATATATTTGCAGTGACTGTCTTAGAACTTTAAATAACAGTCGTCTTATCTGTAAAATAACCGATTTTGTTCTATTCCTGATAGGATATTTAGACTAGGAGTATATTCGCATGGCGGGTGATGTATGCATAGCAGGAGAGGCTTACGGAATAATCAAACTATTCACGGATAACAACTGTCTCATATAACTATAGGAATTATACTTTTAATGCTGTTTTTACTAATGTTCTCTTTGATTGGAATACAGGGTAATTTTATGGTCTCAAAAAGTTGACAAATACGATAATGTTTTGATTCCACAAAGTTAACAAATATAGTAAGTTTTCGTTTGCACAAAGTTGACAAATATGATAATTTTCCGTTTGCACAAAGTTGACAAATATGATAATTTTCCGTTTGCACAAAGTTGACAAATATGATAATTTTCCGTTTGCACAAAGTTGACAAATATGATAATTTTCCGTTTGCACAAAGTTGACAAATATGATATCTTTTGATTTTGCAAGGTTGACAAGTATGATGATTTTTTTGTTTCCACAAAATTGACAAAGATAATAATTTTAATTGACACAGATGAACGACTTCAAACTGGAATCAATGACAAACGTGATGATTTCAACGCACAACGTTTACATATCTCAATTGATACGTTATGCTCATTTAGGCTCACACTATACGGACTTCTTTACCAGGGGTGCGCTCGTTACACAAAAAAAGCTCTAAAGGAGTTACGAGGAAGAATGACTCTAATCGACATTTTATACGTTTTACTGTCACAATTACAAAATGGTTGACCGATGCGATATGTCTGTGCCTCAACTCCTTAGTGACATGTTTTCGCAGTCTTAGATATCTTAAAATATCAGAAAAGTTTTTTAATCTGTAATTTTACCGATTAAGTCCTTTTTCCGCTTGTGACAGTTTGAATAAGTGTGTATTTGCATGGCGGGTAAAACAAGCGTCACAGAAGATGCTTACCCTGTCGATGTACCAGATCTTGTTGATATATAGTCTTGTTTAGTTTGACGATAAATTTTCACTTTTGTTCTCGTACTAGGAACGACAAAATTATTTATTTTGTAAAAGTTATTTCCGTACTCCATGTATACCTTACAACAAAATTATTTTTATTAACCTGTGTACGTTATTTTATTTGGCGGCATTTTGTCCTAGGTTATGGTTGTCTTTCTGATATTGTTAAACATCTAACCCCCTTGTTTTATTAATTTTGTATTTACATTGTGTCATAGATCGAATTTATTCGTTCAGTGTATGTTCACTT